ACGATTAACGGACTAGATACAACTGCTGATAATTCACAAGTAAACTTTGATTTTTCGTAATTCGATAGAGTTGTACAGAAACCTTTCTACTTGCTCTTAAATACAGTCTCAGTCTCAGCCTCAGAACCATTCCATCGAACCTATGATTTAATTGGTGACTTTTGCTTACATCCGTCCATCCGCTGATATCTATCCAAAACCAAGCATGCCAAAGGACTTAATCTTATACGAGTCACCGTCAATCAATAAAGGAACAGAACTGTGAGTCCGTGACAAACCAGCCTACGATAACCGAGGTTAACTACGGTCCTGTGACAAGGAAATTGAAGGTCGCTCACCCTTTACTTCAAGTGATCGGACAGGTGGAGCGTAATTTTGCAACAGCAACTGTCACTGAAAATCATCCACTTGGAGGTAAATGTGGAGAGTCAAAATGCATCCGCTTGATCAGGCAGGACTGACATGCTCCAACTGTGCAGTTTGCATTACAGGCTAATTATGTTGGCGTAAGCAAAGTAGTATTAAAGTGGTTCAACCATGTGATTGGTGTGCTCTGGTTTTGTCGGATTTGCAGAGCTTTTCCAATTGTCAGTGTTATCCTTGTACTCATGAAAGTGCGAAGAATTAACTGAAAATATTGACCTTATGGCGAGTCTTAGTGCTTCGCCATTAGAATCGAAGCAAACCGATCATATTATCCAAAACCCACTGTGAGCTCCGGCTCCATGTCGAAGAGTAAAATCTGTTTTGCCAACCGCCCCATGGTATTTGCGCCATGTATTATGGCATATCTCAACTCCTTAATCGGGCAAGTCACTACATGGTTGCCATTAACTCATTCATGGAAGTTACTCCTAACCGTCCCGTTATGACACCGTCAGCTTTGAATAGGGGACAATCAGTTACAGAAAAAATGGACAAGGTTTGCATCCTGGGAGCGACACATGTAGTTCCAGCTTCTGTACCCAGCACAAACAGTGCGACACAGTTTTCATCTCCATCTGAAGCGGTGCCGCTAGAGCTGTCTAACTCACTGTCAACTACCCAAAAACTAACATTTGATAGGCAGGATCGCAGTGCATTAACGTCGTGTGCACTCACATTTCCGAGTTCAAATCTGGCCCGATAAAGGATAAGTTGCTAGATGATCGCAATCAGTGGTATTACATCTGCGAGTCAATTGGCATTCAGGATGAGTCCACTATGCTGAGACGCGTAACGCTTGTCACCAGAGAGCATTGCATTACCGTGAACCCCGAATTCTTCGATTAAGGTTGAACTCAGCAGATGAAATAGAGGCTGAGCTTCTCACAGCAACTCGCCTTCGCAACTCACCGAGCGGGGTGTGCATTTCACCGGGTCTTACTGGGAATGAAAGAGAGAAACGGATGATTGTCTTCACACAATGTGAGAAGCCTCTCTCTGTTATCAGAGCGGTTCTCATCGAGCGCGTTATGACCACAAAGGTGGCACTCATATGGTAACAGGCGGCCAACCCGTGCATTAAAATCCCCAGCAGGGATAACGACATCCGTCTTTTTAGCATTAGTCAAGAGCTGATGTAGACCCCGGTAGCATTCGTCCTTGACCGAGTCGCCACTGCAGTCAGTTGGAGGGTACACGGAGATCACAAACAAGCTGCGTCTCACTTTGCGGTGCTTGTTGATTCCACATAAACCCCGAAGCCGAACTGCACATAGTTGGCTGTTAATCGGGAACCAGTCCATTGGTGCCGCCTCGGCCTTGCCACTTAGTGCTATACCTACACCAACCAACCACGCTGAGGTTGCTTCTGGATCTCCAGAAAGACGTAGGTGATATCTGGTTTCATGGTCACTGGGGGATGTCAATGTAAGCACAGTGCTGGGACCTCGCAATCGGGTTTTTGAGAGGCAGCAGACATCAACGTCTAGGGAATCTAAAGTGCGCGCTAGACCGGCTTGCTGTCCATTCTGCATGAGTGTCCGAACGTTGAAGCACGCCAGACGGAACGAGGATCGGGGACGAAGGAGAACCATAGCTTGAACTCCTTGGTTCGCGGCGCAACCGGAATCGCAGCCAGATTGTTGAACACATGAATCGGGTAACGGAAAGTGAGGATTGTTAGCGAACAAACAATTGGCGTGTGATGAAGTCGCGTGAATGTGAGAAGCAGAAACAGTAGCTGATGAGCACGTTGTCGTACAGTCCATGGTTTTGTGAGAGGGGCGTGATACTACCCGGTTGTCCAAGCCGAAGTAGGGAGTTGATTTAGGAGACTACCCCGAGTCTTTGACTGAATAACTTCCCCTCAAGGCAGTGGGGCGAATTCAGGGAATCGCACCCATTGGGAGGCGCTGACTGAATGTTCAGTCCATGCGTCTTTGTTTGGTAGCTTACCAAACAGGGGCCAATACTCCCCATGAAATCAGCACAATTGCTGGAATACAATGCCCCACCGAGGTGGAACATTGTCCCCAGACACTTTGCTGGAATGGGCTACACCCGAAGCACCCAGCTGGCACCACGAAGATGTAGTTCGGCAAGCCAGCAATGCGTTAATATGATTACGTTGTGCTTCATGCGCCTCAGTTAGAGACGATCAAGCTTGAGTTTCTCATATCGTTCGAAATATTCACGTTTCGATGAGGTACCTAATAGGCGCTTTGTGAATGCTCGTTTACTATTTTTTAATAACATGTGGTTGCGTTCATTAGTGCTAGTGTCTCGTTGAGAAGTATTCCTATAGAGGACAAGGAAGTGATGAATAGGCGCAAAGCATAGATTCTGTTAATTTTTTTGTTCTAAACATTCGAATTCTCTGCTTGAGTATGCAGTGACGCAACCTATTGTACGGATAAGTTGGGCGAGCATGAGTATCTTAGTCCTAAGTCCCAAACGGTGTGGGACATATTAATTGGCTTTAGATGGTCAGAGCACCAAATGTTATGTCGCAGTTGTAAAACATTGCGTAACACTTCTCTGTCGTAAATAACATTCCCAACTTTAAGCACCAGGTTCCGAGCGTGTGAAGGTCGAGCTAGAGGATGTTGGTGACTTCCTTTATTGTAGTGCGGTGAAAAGTGTACACAATTTAATATCGTTGGCAAAAGATTAGGGCGTTATGTATATCACTGCGTCAAAGGTACCGTTAACATACATCCAGAACACTGCAGGACCAAGGACACTATCCTGTACTACACCACTTTTGAATGCTGTTGGTTTACATACGCGTTCCTGAATCTGTACTCTATGCGTTCGATAGGCTTACATCCACAAAAGTAGGGTCCCCCGATACAAAAGACATCATTTAGAATATTGCTTTTTCGTGGGGTACCAGCTAAGAAACTTTGTGCACGTCGAGGTACATAACTGTTGCAGACATGCCATTATCCTATGTGGGGGCTAGATAATGTAGGGATTTAAGTTGGCATGTTATGCATAACACAGCGCCTAGAAAGCCGTGCTAAGAGTCTTTGAGTAACTTTCGTGACATTAGGAAGTCGACAGTTGTTGCTTTTATATGTCGGTCCCTCATTTTTCCTTTGAATGTATGATTCATTGGGCGGTAATCCTATATTTCGAACAGGATGCTTGATTTATGTCGCGGTATTAAAATGGCTTCCTTCCACTCTGTTGTTACGTTGCCTGAGTTAACGGATATTTTGAACATCTTCAGCAGCAATAAGGTTACCTCGACACCCCGATTTCGATGAGTGCTCGAGGTACATTGTCTAGTCCCCCGAAATAGGATAGTTTTAGGCGTTTCATAAGCTTTTGTACTTCACATAGTTCAGTAATGGCATGGGTGAGTTGATCAACTGTGGATGGTGGGATGTCCAATCTTCTATGGTTATTAGTCACGTTAAAAGCCGCAGATGTATTGTTTAAATATTTCACTGATGTGGACAGGGTCAGATATTATGCGGTTATCTACTGCAACCAGTGAGATCGGGTATAGATTCCGTCAGTTATCCATGCACTTTAACAGACTGATTAGTTCACGGTTCTTATACTGGACGCAGAGGAGTCGTTTTCCAACAGCGATCTGTTTTCTGTGACATGCCAGCTATAGAGCTATGGTCAGCTTTTGATGTTGGGCCATAAAGGTCATTTACTGAATAGAAAACTCTTGAAAGTAGCATATCACATTCAACCCAAATGCACACATCATACTCCATCGGCATCAGCGCTTAGACAAGTAACTAGCCACAAACGTGGATATGTTTGGTTGCGATAAATTTTTTATTGATTCTGGGCCTTGAGGCCAGTTTCGCGAATCATCTGTATTCAGATGGCTTCATTTCCAAATACAAACTCAAAACGAAGTCATGTGATAGCAGATACTTTGCTATACTAATTGACGCTTAATCCTAAAACAAGAGAACGCTATCCTCCTTACTGCTAGTTTTGTTAACAATAGGCTGCACTCCGTTGTTCATTGCCGAACATACTAGATAAATAAACATCATTCCTGGAGAAGCCATGAAGATGAGTGCCCGTATCAGAGGATAAATGGGGTAGAGCACAACGATCCATAATCCGGTGGGTTACATGAAAACGCGGATGGAGCGAGCGTCAACACAACAGATACCGATCAGACAAGTAATAAGACGAATACGAATGAACTTGGACCAGGATGGAGAGCAGCTTCTCGCGTCGTCGAAAAGTATACAAGCTATGTATCTATTCATTTATTCCATCAGCCTATAATAAAAATGAAACCAAAAGATAGCAGTTCTCTATCGGGTCGCTACGAACCACAACGTCTTTTGGAGAAGCTGTATTCGCGCTGCAGCCAGTGATATTACAAGCAAATGCTAACGCGGCACATATGGATAGGAGTTGAGGTCGGTCTCTTGCAAGACATTGTGTCCTGCCTCAATGGCACATGAGGCCTAAAGATTGATTTAGATTCCCCTTTGTACCCACCGATGATGTGACTGCCTTTTAATGACATCAGTTTCCAATAGTGTGAAGGGAATCGAAACATTACCATCTCTTCTTTAAATGTCCGGTAGGATTTTGAGAAATTGCGTGCCAATGAAAAAGCTTTTGCTGCCTGGAAGGCAAAGAAGCGGTCCTCATTACTGGAACAACTCCGACAAAGAAAAGAGGAGGAACAGGCAAAGAAACAAACGCTTGAAAAAGAACGTGAGCAAAACGAATCCGCTTCGAAAGTAAGAATGATTTCCTTGCCATTTTGAGGGACATCAATTATTTTTGGTGGCAATTATAAATGTGAGAAGGTATTACAGTGATAGCTAGATTCCTAGCCTTGACAACTGGTTTCGTCGAGATGCTGTACGAATAATTTAAGACTCAAGAACGAAAGACCATCTGGTGAACGATTGCGTTCAATGATTCATCATCAGACCATTACAATCATATGGAGGCTAAAAATAAAAATCCTCCCAGTTAGTTCAAAAAGAAAAGATCACATGTAGGTCTAGGTCAGAGAGGAGAAAACGAGTTAGGTCTTAGTGGGCTAGTTATTTGCTACCGCGTCTGACTGAAGACAGTCGACTTGGGCGTCTTCCGTCTTCGCTGGCCAGGGAAGCTGGAGAGTCTGGACCAGTTTCTTCTGTGAGCCTAAGGACGACTGGAACAATCGCATGCGCATTGCTTCAACTGTCGTAAGTGTACGAAGGCGGTAAGCTTCCGTTCGGTGCGGCGGAACCTTGTAAACTATTTGGAAAGCGCGTTTCTAATCCACCTCATGGCCGATGTTCACAACGTGGGCCAGAATGACGCTACTAATTAGAATTTTCAATTTACTTAAATCATCCGAACCCCCATTAGTAGTGAAGGAGCTCAATCAGTTCCTTTAATTCTCCACTGGGCTTGCTGAAGCCAAATGTTGTGTTCAGTTCTTTAATGATTGCCTAGAGCGTAATGAATATCCGACCAGATTTTGGAAGCAGCTACGCCGTGATTGGATCTTTCCCAATAGCAAAACCCTTAGACAACATGCATTAAACCACCGTGATACAGTGCAATCCAAGATTGCTGAATAAGAAATAAATCTAGCACAACGCGACACGGCAACGGATGAGTTAGTTGCTGAAGAAAAGAAAGTGTTTCTGGACTGTGTTCAGTCTATCGCTAGCAACCGTGTACAGCGAAGGCGGTCTTCTTCAGCAAAGTCGCTAAGCCAGCTTAAGCCGTAAGCCACGTTTCTAAACAAGCCAGACAGGTATGTACACAACTTTTCTAGTTTGCACATGGTCGCAACTTTGATGAAAGTTCTATCGCTTGGCTTAAAGTTTTGCGCTCCTAGACGCAGAGAGAACCAGCTCGATTATGAGTTACACTTTGAAAGCCTACATGATCAGACGAAAGGGTTAGTCGCTAAATCGAACGCAGATCTTGAACGTTTCAAGTGCTACTTGGTGAGTTGTTGTTACCAGTATCGCAAACACGGCGTCCGTAACCATGGCCCGCTAACAAGAAGACACCTAGATGCGCTGAACGAACTAAAGCGCAATGAGGCAATCGCCTTGTGCAGAAGGGACAAAGTACTGGAATCGTGTTACTCGACAGAAAAGATTACATTGATAAACTAACAGCATACTGAGCGATGAGACAAATTTGGCGTGCATTGAAAAAGAAGGGAACCGGATTGAACAAGTTGAAACACAGATAACTAAGAGCTTGCAAGAAGTCCGGGCCAACGAGTACATTTCAGATACTCTGTATGACAGCCTTAAACCGAGTGGCACAAGCGTCCCAAGACTTTACGGGTTACCAAAAATCCACAAAGCCAACATCCCATTTCGTCCTATTTTATCAATGGTCAACTCACTGTACCTTGCCGCCGCTCAGTGACTTGTAAAACTTCTTGAACATGTGCGTCAGCAGCTCGCTACCTAAAGCCTTCGTGACAGCTTCAATTTCATCGAAAGCATCAAGAATGATAAAATCAATGAGAAAGTAATGCTCTCTATCGATTCCGTCTCTCTTTTTACAAACGTCCCATTAGTTAAGACGAACGATTACATTTTAGACCATATAGCCCGAGTCAGGAATAAAAGTGTGTATACCTATGCGTGAGTTCAAATGACTACTGTTATTCTGCACCTGGAATGTGTAGTTTCTATTCAACAGGAAATACTACCGACAAAAGGATGACGTGGCCATGGGATCCCTCTTCGGACCGCTATTAGCGGATATCTTCATGTCAAAGCTAGACAACCGAAATGCGGGCGGCGAAAGACCTTTTTGACCGCTATCATCGATACATGGATGATATATTTGTTGTGGTGGATAAACATGTTAATCTGGATGAAATTCTTGGCCAAAGCAACCGGCTGCATGCAACAGTGCAGTTTACTTACGAGAAGGAAAGCGATAATCGTCTACCATATCTCGATGTCTTGTTAACTAGGAGACCAGACGGATCCATCCAGCGTCAGGTTTACAGAAAAACAACGAACTTTCACAGTTTCGTTCCTATGAGAAACAAGCGCAACTTGGTTCACTGTCGTACCTCAAGAGCACGTCGAATTTGTATGGAAGACACCTTAAACGTGAAGTTAATGTTCAAACAGAATACTCTACGTGAAAACGGTTATCCCGATAGATTTGTTTTAAGGAACTTAAAAGAAAAACCCAGACCAATACCTGTGTTAACAGCAGCAACGAAGAGTTATTTATTCGTTTACTATTCAAAGGGACGCGGCTACCGGGCGTCTAACCAGAAGCCTTTCGGCAGCAGCCTCGTTGAAGTGCGTGTTTTCAACGAAGCCACTCATTCGTTCACAAAACAAGGACAAGTTGTTGATGCTGACCAACTCAATGGTAAGTTATCAATTCGTGTGCGCCTATGGCGCAAAGTATATTGGTTGAACGTCGCGGTAGCTATCTAAACGCGTGAACCAACATTGCCCTCGTTGGATGCGTCAAGGGGGCGCCGGGACCATTAGTAGCCCCATTCTGGCCCACGTTGTGGACATCGGCCATGAGGTGGATTGGAAAGGCGCTTTCCAAATAGTTTACAAAGTTCCGCCGCACCGAACGGAAGCTTACCGCCTTCGTACACTTACGACAGTTGAAGCAATGCGCATGCGATTGTTCCAGTCGTCCTTAGGCTCACAGAAGAAACTGGTCCAGACTCTCCAGCTTCCCTGGCCAGCGAAGACGGAAGACGCCCAAGTCGACTGTCTTCAGTCAGACGCGGTAGCAAATAACTAGCCCACTAATACCTAACTCGTTTTCTCCTCTCTGATCTAGACATTCACGTGATCTGTTCGTTTTGAAATAACTGGGTGGATTTTTATTTTTAGCCTCCATATGATTGTAATGGTCTGATGATGAATCATTGAAAGCAATTGTTCATCAGATGGTCTTTCGTCCTCGAGATGTAAATGGGAATTTTCAATTTACTGGAATGAATTTACACTGCAAGTGCAAATGAGCTAGATTCCTTTAACAGGAAAAGCAGCACATGTTTTCCAGTGGATGTTTTTATTCCGACCAATTGGCCGGGCAATCTGCGCAGTAAGCAACGCAATCCATAGCGACGAGGCCGGACCTTAACGCGGTGTGATAATTTACGTGCCTCAGCGAACCACTGGGCTATGCTTAGTGATGTTTTTGCACTTTCAGAGCAAATTATGCCAGATTGGTCAACGGTTAGAGGCCAGTTAAATTCAGTCTCCTCCAGGTTGGGGGGTTGGGGTGACGGTGGCTCCTTACTCAACAAAACGGGCCAACGTAGCGCACTGCCAAAACCCCGTTGCCTTGCGGTCAGCTTTTTTAACCAAAGGCTTTGGTTGACAATCCTGATCATTTTCCTTGGCAACCTGACAGTATTCTGCCCACGGAATACTATAAAGTTTTCATTAAACCATTTGCTGATGCTCTGACGTCTCAAAAGAAAACAAACGACGCCCTGTCTGTTACATCGAGCAGGATAGATGGGGGTGAGAATGCTGCTGCTCAAGCCTTCCCGCCCTCTTATCCCCTCATTTGCGCTTTTTTCATCTTAGCCTCCCGTTCCAACTTTACTTTATCCCCCCAGTTTGCAACCCTCAATTCTTAGCCCTCCCCCATCTTGGCTCAGTTTATTTTTCAATTTGTACTCACATGAAATCCCAGGGCGTCGCTCCGGTACAGTCGACATCCTATGTCCAACCAAACGGACATCGTCAGTTCATTGGCTTCTATTTGGAGCGCTGGATCCTCCTGAAGAATGGCAGGCCTCAATGTGTGCACTTTGTTGCACATTGCCCGAACACTGGGGACTCTATCATTCGATATCTATTGCTCCTCGCAGAAATACGCCTGAATTCTTTGCGTCCTGTGACTATCCCGCGTTCCCCGACGTGCGACAATGGCGGTATTTTCTCATTGCGCTTGTCCAGAAACGACGCGGCTTCAAATACCGGTCAAGCTGATGTGGACATTGCTCTTAGACACCGGACTGAAGTTGCGCTGATTGATTAGATCCCAATAAGCAACCGGATTTGCGCTGTCAGATTGGCTGGCTTGTTCAAAGCCTCGAAATCACATATACACAGACGGCGTTTGTTCGTCATTGCGACTTAGGCGCCAGCGAATTATAGCGCTGACTAGGTGAAGACCGACATCTGTCACCAAGCAAACGCGCTCCTCCGTTATAGAAATAGCACGGAAACTGTGGTACTGGCTGGTGATTAAGACTCCCAATTTGAAAAACTGTCCACTAATGAGCCTCAGCTGGTGTAGGTACCCATAAGGAGAATGGTGAGCGGTTGCTATACATGTATGAATATGCTTGCCTCTTTCTCGCGAGCACTAACTTCCGATACACACCCACGGAAGGGTGCTAAGGAGCCCTCTAGCCTCGGACCAGCCATGGAGGCATATTTATCACATCGCGATCAGTTATTGCTGGCGAGAATGGTTTTAGAAATGTCGCTCGATTTGGAGCGCGAGGGGGGGACTCTGACCGCGCAGTTTGTTGCGCCGACCTTCGGATTTATTTCGACGGACGTCCGCAACGGCGCTGTGAGCACATAGATACTTACCAACTGGTGAAGTCAGATGTTCTAAGTGCGTATCAAAGTACGTCGGCATCCGGGCTGAGTAAGCGATCATTGAACACGGTTGAAGCTCACTGGTGGCGTATCCGCGAGACGTTACAATCAGCAGGGATGTAGTGCTATAGTGAATCAAATCCTTCACCTGGACATAGGTT